TAAGAAAATCGAATGGAAAAGACTAGTAGGAATAAAGATCAAGGAATACTGGAAAAATGAATGTCATTATGAAAAAATGGAAAAAACATCACTTAAATACATAGAGATACAGAACAATCCATTAAATGAAGCACACAATATATGGAAAAGCGTAAAAAACAATAGTAAAGATGTAAAGGCAGGAGAAATAAAAGCAAGAATAAGTACTCAAACGTACATATTACAAGCCAAAAGAGCTAAGTTCGATCCGAAAGTTAACCCGATATGTACAATCTGTGAACAGGAAAATGAAGATCTAGAACATTTTATTCTACGCTGCAAAGAATTGGAGCAAATAAGATCTAAATATTGCTCAAAAATCGAACAGACAATGGATGAAATTGATACCTCAACATACAAGAAGATCATAAAGGGGGGGGGGGGGGGGCAAGGGGGGTTCCAATAACAGCAAAACAGTGAATTGATTTGGCTTAAAACAGATAACAAGGAATTGAAAAGGGATACAAACAGATAACAGTAAATAAAATATTAAAATCAGTATGGTCCACGACCAATCCAGTAGATCTTATTATATACATGTAACTGGTTATATGGACCTAGCTAGGCCTTAACAGAGACATGTATATATATGCATTTTAATTATGATCCTCATCAGGTATCCCTGGCCATATGTTTTCCTTTTTGTTATATTAATAATTGATTTGAATTTAATATGTACGCATGGGGATACAAGGAACATTATCCCCATATATACGTAAAATTCAAATTCAGACAATTCTTAATATCAAGAAAAAGGAAATCATATGGCTATAATAGGGATACCTGATGAGGATAGGCCTAGGTCCATACGACATAAACGTCTTTTATATATTTTGTGTACAAGTTATGATTTTGTTCAAATTATGATTTATACAAAAAAAAAATGTACAAATTATAATTTGTATTTTGACTTTATACAAATTGTAATTAGTACAAATTTCGATTTAAATTCACTTAAAACTTGTACAATAATTTATAGTACGGATGTTGGAATTTTCTGAACAAAATTACTAGTTTCTGTTTTTGTTAAAGGAATATTTTAAAATCAAGGGCATTTGTTAGATCAATTTTTGGTGTTTTTTTTTATTTTTTCAAGAAAATGAAGCCAGTGACCCCATATATTGATTTGATTTTTAGAACATTTTTTTCTGAAAAGCAATTTATAGTATGGGTTTTGTTATAAAAAAAAATGATGCACACTATAGAATTTTTATTCAATAACCACAAAAAACCTTAGTTATAAAATACAAAAATACCCGGATGTAGACAGGAAATGTAATTGATACATGCATGCCAGTTACAGTTATTTGTGATAATATAATAGAAATTGGTCTGACAAAAATAACTATGATTTCCTGTGACAATATGCAAAAGTTAATGGCAGACTTTTAACCGCGAAACATATAGCTAAACTCTGGACTACCTCCCCGACTAGCGGAAATTGCAAATTGTGTGAACACTTTGTTCAAGATACACTGAACCACCAAATATGTATGTGCACAGAACTTCAATCACAGAGACTTTCACTATAAAACAGATTAACACAATTGAATAGTGACAATTTCGTGTACATAATGGATTTTAAAATCGGACGAGAGCTACTCGGATTTTCTGCTTGGCAATCAGGAAGATCTCTGTGACATTTTAACACTAGGGCATCGTTTGGAAGTCTTTAACGAAGGATTTTCCTTCCTAAAATACTGTAAACTGTAAATACTTTTCCATTCAAAACATTAAGTGACATTTCTAATTTTGTGATTTCAAAACTTTATAATTGTACATAATATATGCATTTTGTCTTATGTCAATCTCCTATAGGAGGAAATAAAGTATGATGATGAGGACTATTCTGATAGTATAATAGAAATTGGCCCAAGTGACAATTCTGATAATATAATAGAAATTGGCCCGAGTGACAATTTGGATGACACCAAATAAAACACCAATCATGCGTCTTTTGTGATATTATTGAACATGGAGAATTTGAATACCGCATTGGAACAGCTGTAGGATATTTAAAGGGATATTTGTCGAGAAATTAAAATGAAGCTGTTAAAGACACATCTTTGTTTGCATCAACAGTTTCTGAGCTTCAACTTTCGCTATGTGAAGCAGGTAAAAAGCTTTCAAAAAACTGGTGGTCAGGGTTCTCTTTGATTTAAATGCAAAGAGGGGGAGTAGCGCTTCTAAATGTAAATGCTAAATGCAAAAGATGTTGTGTAATTCCTAAAGCCATAATTCACTCACATGCTCAAACAAATGATACAGAACTATTTTTGTATTTTGTAAATAAGTATAAAAGGAGATGTGGTATGATTGCCAACGAGACAACTCTCCAAAAGAGACCAAATGACACAGAAATTAACAACTATAGCCCATCAAACGGCCTTCAACAATGAGCAAGCTAATACCGCATAGTCAGCTATAAAAGGCCTATAATGACAAATGTAAAACAATTCAAACGAGAAAACTAACAGCCTAATTTATCTACAAAATAATGAACGAAAAACTTAGTAACACAGCAACAAACGACAACCACTGAATTACAGGCTCCTGACTTGGGACAGCCACATAGAGAATGTGGCAGGGTTAAACATTCCCCAACCCTCCCCTAACCTGGGACAGTGGTGTAACAGTACAACATAAGGTTTATTATGTGGTCATTGAATAAAAATTCTATAAGGTGTACCGATGTTTTTTTTTATAACAAAATTTATACTATAAGTTATTGTACAAGTTATAAGTGAATTTTAGTCAAATTTTGTACAAATTGTTACAAAAAAAGTATTTGTACAAAAAATGTGTACAAAGTCAAAATACAATTTATAATTTGTACAAAATGATAATCTAAATACATGTTCAAAGACAATGGAATTTATTACAAATGATAAAAATATTTCTGTAAAAGAATATAATTTTACTTTACCAGTATACTTCACTTAGAACTACATTTGAGCGCAAAAAAATCTCCTTGTGAATCGGCTGAATCCTGGGATCGAAGTTCAACATATCAACGGAAATTTTTGCGTGTGCTTGCGTTGCTATACATCGAGGCCACAGCTTTTCAACCAATCGGGAATTGTTTACTTGGGGCATACATCTATTTTTACTGCAGGTTTTGACGTGTTTAAATCGGAATTATAGAAAAATGAAATGCTGTTGGTAGATACAAAACAGAAAATGATAAACACTTTTAGCAAAAGATAAATTGGATCGGGGGTCTGTGTATTCACATTATTTGTACAACTCTCCTTACTCTTGGGAAGCGTGTGCTTTGCATCGAGGCTTGCGTTGCTTTACATCGAGGCTTGCGTTGCTTTACATCGACGCCATAGTAGTTCAACCAATCGGGGAATGTTTATTTGGGGCATACATCTATTTTTACTGCAGTTTTTGGTATATTTTGGTATATTTTAATCGAAATTAGTGAAAAAATGGAATGATGTTAGGAGATACAAAACAGAAAATGATAAATACTTTTAGCAAAAGATGAATTGGATCGGGTTCTGTGTATTCACATTATTTGTACAACTCTCCTTACTGATTGGAAAAAAATGGAATTTCCATGACCTAAATGGTTCGCGAAAATAATATTTTTATATATAGTATAGTAATAATAATATATACTGGAATGGATCCAATTCTTGTTTTTTTTTTTATGTGATGTATGCTACTGGAATCCTTCTGCAAATAAGGGATCACCATATTAACAGTGCCAGTGGAAAGACCCTAATAGATATAAGAAGAAGTGGTATGAGTGCCAATGAGACAACTCTCCATCCAAGTCACAATGTTCAATTATCTTCAATTTAGTACTGAAGATTGGATGTCAAAATGCTAACATTCCAATTTTCAATAACAGTTAACAGCAAATACATTCTCACAATAACAGATAACAAAAAAAAAAAAATAATAGTCCTATAACAGCTAACAAGGAATAAGACAATAACAGCTAACAGCAAATATATTTTCAGAATAACAGATAACAAAGAATTAAATTGCCCCAAAACAGCATAACAGTTAAACCCCTTGCCCCCCCCCCCCCCCCCTCCATCATACAAGAAGGGAATTTACTGCAGCTCATAATGGACTGTACTAGCAAGGACATAAACTGTTACTCAACTGTGTATGAAAACATTGAAACTCTGGCTAGAAATATGTGCTACGAGACGACATGCTGCGCACAAAAAGGATAAAAAACTTGAACACAAGTACAGTATAAGTATAAGTAAACTTTTTAAAATAAAATAGTTCCCTAGCTACTTTACCATCTTACTATTTTATGACTTATTAGGACCTAAATTAAATAAAAATTTTTGCAAAGTTTTAAGATATCCAGTTACCTTTAAAGAATAATGATAAGATCCGAAATAAGGTAACTTTAAACTGTGAAGGAAAACTTATGTATATATGATGAATTATTCGAAACCCCAACCCTTTTACATAAGTCTTATAAAATAACCTTCTCATTATAAATTCTGATGTACATATAGCACCTTTAACTAACAATTATAAGAAAGTTTAATTTAAGACCACTTAAATTCTAAATTCTTATTCGTAAATATATCCAGTTCTTACTGGCTTAACTTATTCTTACACCTCAGCACATTATGAATATTATTTTTAAAATTTTATGATGACAATCCTATGAATTAGTTATAATATTAATTATTATTGCCCAAATTCAGTCATCTGTACATAATTAAATGTTTCCTTATGTTCTAAGGTGTATATAGTTGCTACAATTATACCCTATGGGTAGTGCTCCACAATTAATGGAGGAATATACAAGAAACTGGTGAGCTGTGTGCACAGTTCAAGGTCAAATCTAAATTATATTTTTTTTACGATGAAAAACTGAATAGAAGAAAGAAACGATTTAAAAATATAAAAAAAAATTGGGTAAGCAAAAATGATTGATTTTGTATTTATTATTATTGGTAAAAATCAAAGATAGATAATTAATAAAATTTTTGGTCAAATCTAGCCCCGGGCTGTCCTGTTTCGCGCGCTTCAAACGTCGTCCATATTGTATTTCATGACATACGAGAAAGATGTTATACCTTTTGCTCCTAGATAAAAAGGCTTATGACGAAGATTCAGTGACAAATACATAGTTACAGTGAGTTTATTAAATGAAAGGGAACATTTTACCATTGCAACATCCAATGTTTTGACAACTTTGTTTATTTTTAATGTTCATCTTAAAAGTTTATAGATCAGCTTAAAGTTCTAAGGGAGCTGCCATTTGATTTTTATAGGGGGGGGGGGGGGGGGGGGGGTGGTGGCTAGGATGAAAAATTTTGTCCTGCATTTTTTTTTTAGTTGTAATCTCTGTCCTGCCTTTTTACTTTTCACTATTTGGTCCTGCCTTTTTTTTTTTAGTTTATCCTGGCTTTTTTTTCATAAATTGTCATCCTGCCTTTCTTTTTGCAAAGTGTCTCATCCTGCCTTTTTTTTTTTTTAACTCAAAACTCCTGTCCTGCCTTTTTTTTCAAATATCATCCTAGCCCCCCCCCCCCCCCCCCCCCCCCCCCATAAAAAATCAAATGGTAGCTCCCTAAAGGCTGAAATGGCTGAGTTTTATTCTTTGATTACAGACAAACATTTGCATCTGGAAAAGTTTGATTGCATGGCCCAGATAAATTGGGGTGGGAAAGGGGGTGCAGCAGGGGCAGAAGGATTTTGAAAATGGAAATCCTGGCCTGGTTAAAGCTGAAAGTCAATAATCTTGCACAAGAGGAGATAAAAATTTCAGCTATTCTGCAACTCAAAATGCAGGAAACTTAATCATTTGTTAAGGTGTACAAATTCAAAAGTGAAAATAATATTAACAAATTCAACATTTAACGAGTTACATGTTGTACCATGCAAACAAACTACATCTGAGAATACTATAACACATGGGGTCGGTCTTTTCACCACCAAACACCACCGAACACCCAAAAAGACCACTTACCCTTAAGAAAAATAGTAATGTTACACAATGAAATCAATTAAATTGCGTAAAATTTAATCCTATGGTCATGTTTTTTTACATTTTTATGTGCAATAGTGATAATTAATGTTTTAAGTTGAGAATTAAAATAAAAAAAAAAAAAAAAGACGCTTCTGGATCCAGCAATATATTTTTCCGGATTTACATTGTCTGTATTTCCTTGTATATTATCTTATGCTTATGGTCTTTACTTTTCAATAATTAGAAATAAATTGTTCAAATAAGTTAAAACATTTTATTTAATGTGAAATTATCCCAATAATTATATTTAAAAAACTGTTAGACTTGAAAGTGTACTGTTCTTTTTGGTTCTCTTGTTTATCATTTCTTATTAATTTGTGTATAATATGTATAAACATATTTCGATATTCTCGTTCAGAATTTGTCAAATTAAATAAAGATGAAAACAATATATTTATGTGTGTTAGATGATATTTTAATGTGTTCGGCGGTGTGCAGTGGTGTTCGGAGGTGAAAAGACCTACCGTAACACATGTGTTATAGTAGTCTCAGACCAAATGTATATATTTTGTACAATTTCTTGATTTTCCTTGTTTTACATCAACTTTTAAGTCATTGTTTTACATCAACTATTAAGTCAATATATTAAAGATGGGGAAAGTTTATGCATGATATGTGTGCATCTCATTTGAACTCGTACCACATATCTCATATCTATCCAAGAAACAACTTTATATTTGGTTAGAATATATGTCAATGGTTATGATAAAGCTTCTCTCAAATTATTTTGTTGTTTCTTGCCTGCGCATGATGTTTCTTTAAAGGAAATATTGACGGGAAACTGCACAAAGTTAGCAGTATTCTTTGTTTTCATAAAATGTGACGTCATAACATCAAAAATCTTGTGTATATAATTCATTTATATTTCTTGATTTTATGCATTCCCAAACGTGTGCAAATTTGAATAGTTTTTTTGGGGCAAAACCGGGTCTTAATGCCCCTTCTCCTTTTATGTACATTTTGTTTTGTGTACTGTATTCATCATATTTTCATTCTTCAAGTACAATGTTGGTGCATCTCATAGCACTTTAAGGGTATTTGCTAGCTTACTGTCCACAGTGTGCTATGATAAAAGTGTGGTAACTCTTATATTATTTTAATGTGCTTGTCCCAAGACGGGAGCCTCCTGTTCTATTGTCCTATCTTAATGTTTCTCAATTTGGAAAATTGGATTTTTATGGCAGAGCATTTGATTCTTTTTTATACGCCCCCGTCAAAACTTTGACGGGACGTATTATGGTATACAAATGTCGTCTGTCTGTCCAGCGTAAACATGTCGCACCGTAACTTGAGAACGACTTATCCAAATTTCATGAAACTTAATTAACATACATTGTAGTTGTTTCTTATGATGGTCAAACAATCTGTTTACTTTTTGGTGAAAATAAGATTAAAACTTTTTGAGTTACAGGACTTAATAACTAAAACAGGTGTCGTGCCGTATCTCATTAACAATTTATGATTATTGCTTAAAACTTTACTAAATCTTTTGTGAGTAAAGAATGTTACTCCAGGATTATTTGATTTTCACAATGAAAAGTGTTATAATATATATAGTCATCAGTTCGTCTAGTATCTATCTTCCCTAAGGGAAATAAACACTTAGCTTCTTTTTGTCTTGCACATGTTGGGACCAAACAACTTATATGGTGATAATACTTGCATAAGTGAATAAAATTATCCTTCTTTAGAGGGCTGGAGGTATAAAGGTTTAAAACCATCAAATCATGGTACATCATCTGGTTGCATATATGAAAAATTCGTAAGGGTTCCGCGGAACCCAGTGTCTCGCCTACTTTTGGTGTTAATCGCAGGCTCAACAAAAATGAGGAAAAAAATTAATAAAAATATTCCCCTCTACACTATGTTTTGATTGTAAGTAGCTTCTGTCCAAGTTTGGTAAAAATCCAGGATAATTTATGAATCTAATAAATGTTTTAAAAACTTAAACTGCAGAATGTATGTAATGTTGACTGGAAGAAAAACTAAGTCCATTTATAAGTAAAATACAGAAAAAATGGAACAAAATTTTATCAAAATTTCCTTCTAGATACTAGCTTTTGATCATAAACAAGCTTCTGTCCAAGTGTGGTACAAATCCAGGATAGTTTAAGAAAGTTGTTAAAATTTTAAAAACTTTAACCACAGAGTGAATGTAATGTTAACTGGCAGAAAAACTAAGTCCCTATATAAGTAAAATACGGAAAAATGGAATTTTTTTTTTACAAAATTTACTTCTGGATACTATCTTATGATCATAAACAAGCTTCTTTCCAAGTTTGGTATAAATCCAGGATAGTTTAAGAAAGTTATTAAAATTTCAAAAACTTTAACCACAGAGTGAATGTAATGTTTCCTGGCAGAAAAACTTAAGTCCATTTATAAGTAAAATACGGAAAAATGGATTTTTTTTTTTACAAAATTTACTTCTGGATACTATCTTATGATCATAAACAAGCTTCTTTCCAAGTTTGGTAGAAATCTAGGATAGTTTAAGAAAGTTATTGAAATTTTAAAAACTTTAACCACAGAGTGAATGTAATGTTAACTGGCAGAAAAACTAAGTCCACTTATAAGTAAAATACGGAAAAAATGGAATTTTTTTTTTACAAAATTTACTTTTGAATATAATCTTATGACCATAAACAAGCTTCTGTCCAAGTTTGGTAGAAATCCAGGATAGTTTAAGAAAGTTATTAAAATTTCAAAAACTTTAACCACAGAGTGAATATTTGTGGACGCCGCCGCCGCCGACGACGCCGACGGAATGTAGGATCGCTATGTCTCGCTTTTTCAACAAAAGTCGAAGGCTCGACAAAAAGGGAAATAATCCCTTGAATTTGACAGTTGAAGGAAATTAATCCTACATCTCATTGCAATAAAAAAATGTCTTGAGTCATAAACATATATCTTGGCTGTTTCAAAGCACCATTATTTTTTTTTATTTGGTGTTTCTATTGAATATTTTAGAAACTGGCTGTTACATGGTTACTAAAGCTTGTACACAGGAAAACAAGAGGCTCTCAAGAGCCTGAATCGCTCACCTTATTTCAGAGTGGAAGATTTTTAAATGTTAGCAAGCTTGATGAACAAATTGTGTAAAATTGTCTTTAAAGGGCAATAACTCCTTGAGGGGTCAATTGACAATTATGGTCATATTAACTTTTTTGTAGATCTTACTTTGCTGAACATTATTGCTGCTTACAGTTTATATATATCTATAATAATATTCAAAATAATAACAAAAAACTGCAAAATTTTGTTAAAACTACCAATTAGGTGGCAGCAACCCAACAATGGGTTGTGTGATTGGTCTGATAATTTCAGGGCCAATAGATCTTGACCAATTAAACAATTTTAACCCAGTCACATTTGCTCTAAAAGATTTAGTTTTTGAGATATAAGCCAAAAACTGCATTTGACCCTTAAGTTCTATTTTTAGCCATGGCGGCCATGTTTGTCGATGGATCAAAACTTCGGATACAATTTATAAACTAGATACCCTAAGGAACATTTATTTAAAGTTTGAATGTATTTGGCCCAGTAGTTTCAGAGGAGAAGATTTTTGAAATAGTTTACGACGGAGGCCAAGTGATGGCAGAAGCTCACGTGGGGCCCTTCAGGCTCCGGTGAGCTAAAAAGAGGTGAAAATTTGATTGTTTAACTTCCAGTGATGGTTATTTCTTAAACGCATTGAAATGTTATTTGAAATTTTTTATATAGTACTGGACAGGATAAAACTTTACTCATGCCAAGTATTTTTTTATTTGAAATAAAGATATTAAAATTCTGCACAATTTTTTGAATAATTTCATTATTTGTGTCAATATTTACTGACTTTGAATCATTGTTTTCAGGCTTCCAGTTCAGTGTTTGTAATGAGCCACACTAGACAAAACACTGTGGCAGGCAACACTAGACAATTTAAGATGATGGAAATGGCAGGTTGTTTCATGGTAAGCATCTTTTGTAATTAATTCACTCATTGTCTCCTAACTTTAAATGCAAAGTCTTCCAGGTTGGTCAGTAATAGGGACAATCTGCCAAATAGGGTATATATATATATATATACTTTAAATGAGTAACAATCTCTCTATTTACTCAATAATGTATATTATCAAAGTGTTAAATATGAATTTATTTCCACATCCAATATGGAAGGAAGGAGGGTTTGTTGGTTATAAATATGTCAGTTCATCTGTCCTCGTTTTCATCACTCTTTGGAATACCAAATTTAATTCTGAAATTTAGACAGTATCAAGCTTCAATTGAGCATGCAATACAGAGATGTGTAAACTATTATTAGGGCCTTCCAATAGAATGTCAGGTTTCCCTTTATTTTTCAATTTGTCCACAATTTTCTGTGAACGCACAAACCAAACAAAATTTTGCACAGTTGATTTGTCTTATCTGTAAATGTGCATTAATTAAAGCCTCTCTTGTGACGAAAGTCATGGAAAGTAAAACATAGGGATTGTTTTTCTGGCGACAATGACAGTTTCGGCTCTAAGGCATCAACAATTGTTAAGTTTTCTGCTAAGTTAGTTTGAAAGGAACTAACTGTGCTAGATTAATAATTTTTTGTATGAAGTCGCTTTACTATCAGTACATATATCAGTTTGACGACTATTTTGAGGCCCTGCCCCTAGGTCCTAGGGGCTTTGAATTAATTAGCAATTTTCAATGTTAATTAAGTTGTAAAATCTGCTTAAGTCAGTTAAATGATAGAATCTATTTGTGATAGATCCAATGATATTTTGTATGAAGTCGCATTTCTATCAGTTCCTATCAATATATATATATATATATATATATGTAACTTAAGCAGAAAACGTAACATTGAAAATTGCTAAATAATTCAAAGTTACAATAAACAACGATATTTTCTATAAAGTTACATAACAGTCTGTCCATCTCTGTGTTTGTGGACCATGATTTCTAGGCCCTGCCCACTTGATCTTGGTCTAGTGACTGATTTAATAAGCAATCTTGCTGTCCATCAAATTGTCTTTTTCTGAATTTTATGCTAAAAGGCAAGACATGTCTCTGTGTCAACAATTAATATAAGCATTAGCATTTCTCTTTTCCATGGTGGTTTATATTTGGCCCTGCACCTTCAGTCATGTTTGCACTAGTACATTGTCGGCACCCCCTAATCTCCCCACTAAATTTCAGGTAAAAAAAACTGTTGGAAAATGTCTAATGAAACTGCGGTAGTTTCACAAATTGTGTGTGGTCGTTTGCAGTATTTTCATGGTAAACCCATTTTCCATCATGCAAACAGAAGTTGAAACTGCTTGTAAATGATTCATTCTAGTACACTTCACGATTGTTAAAGTAAGTCAAAATCACACAAAAAATTTAGAAACCTGTGTATGTTTAAACCGGAAGTTTGAATAGCACATGTAAAAGAAAATAAAAACGGTGAGAGTCGAAATCCGTACTTAACAGATATCACTATAATACAACTTTGAAAGTAAAACAGTTCCATGCATGCATATCCTAAATGTGTAAAACAATGTTTAATATATCTATCACATTAATGTTTGAAGGGTCTTAAGCTAATACAAAACATATTCCTCTGTATGAAACACCAAAATGGAACGAATATAGTCCGTTTGACTTCTATAAATCTTCAGAAAATAATTCTTAAAAATTAAATTTTGTAAATAAACAATTTTTGTCGCAGAAAGCTCGACATAGGGATAGTGATCCTACGATGGCGGCGGCGTTAGCTAACTTCTTAAAAGCTTTATATTTTAGAAGCTAGAAGACCTTGATGCTTCATACTTTGTATATAGATGCCTTATGTTACGAAGTTTCCGTCTCATGTGTCCATTGTCCCCCCCCTTGACCTCATTTTCATGGTTCAGTGACTACTTGAAAAAAAAGTCAACATTTTTTGTAATGTTAATTTCTTTCTTATTATGAGTAATAGGATAACTATATTTAGTATGTGCGTACCTTGCAAGGTCCTCATGCCCGTCAGACAATTTTCATTTGTCCTCGACCTCATTTCATGGATCAGTGAACAAGGTTAAGTTTTCGTGGTCAAGTCCATATATCAGATACTATAAGCAGTAGGGCTACTATATTTGGTATATGGAATGATTGTAAGGTGTACATGTCCAACTGGTAGGTGTCATCTGACCTTGACCTCATTTTCATGGTTCAGTGGTCAAAGTTAAGTTTTTGAGTTTTGGTCTTTTTTTCTAATACTATATGCAATAGGTCAACTATATTTGGTGTATGGAAATATTTTATGATGTACATGTCAGTCTCGCAGGTTTTATTTGACCTTGACCTCATTTTCACGGTTCATTTCTCAGTGTTTAGTTTTTGTGTTTTGGTCTGTTTTTCTTCAACTATAAGCAATAGATCAACTATATTTGTTGTATGGAAGGATTGTAAGGTGTATATGTCTGTCTGGCAGGTATCATCTGACCTTGACCTCATTTTCATGGTTCATTGGTCAATATTTAGTTTTCTTGGTTAAGACTGTTTCTTAGAAACTATAAGCAATAGGTCAACTATGTTTGGTTTATTGAATGATTGTAAGGTGTACATGTATTTCTCGTTTGGTTTATCTGACCTTGACCTCATTTTCTTGGATCATGTTAAGTTTATGTGTTACTTGTAGTAAAGCTTTATATTTAGGACTATCAACATAAAATCAATGGTTAGTAAAGAAGGCGAGACATTTCAGTGTGTGCACTCTTGTTTTCTTGATGTATGTTAATGTATGATATATACAAACTCTGACTCATGAATATCATAATTTTAGGCCAATAATCAAAAAAGTCTCTATGTTACTCCTATTTTCTTCATATAAAATACTTGATGGAGTAAGGGGGTATGAATAGTGTAACAGCTTTCCATTCAAAACAAAAACATAAGACATGTGCTTTAAACCTGTTTCATTGTACCATGTGACTTAACTCATTTAAATATCAAAGGACATTATACATGTCATGAAAGGCTGTTACACTATTCATACTTATACTCCATCAAGTATTAGACAAAAATAGAAGTAACATAGAGACCTAATGGGTAACTTTTTTGATTATTGGCCCAAAATTATAATATTCATAGTCAGAGTTGGTATATATCATACATTAACATACATCAAGAAAAAAATTGTATATTTGCAAAAATGAATTTTTAAGAATTATTTTCTGAAGATTTATTATAAGTAAACGGATTATAATAACCAATTACGTTTTGTAGTTTACACATATTGTAAGCTGGTTTACGGTTGACTTTTTTTGCTCTTTTCGTTCCCTTTCATTCAAGCAGATTCCAGTTTATATAATTAAGCAATGCAGTGAAAAGAAATGAGAAATTCGTAATGAAGCATTTAATTTTTAAATTTATCAGTAGTAATTTGATACTGAATAAAAATAACTTATTAATATAGATAAGGTAAAATTACTAGTTTTAAAAATGATGAGTGCCCTCTACAATATCAAAAACAAACATGGCGGTACATGAGCCACCTCGCGAAATCAAATATTTTTTTATTTCTTGCTTATTGTACTCTATAGTCCGCACCCCTGTCTGGCAGGTTCAATTTTGGAGAAGAAAACCGCGGACTATACAAGCCTTTTAACAGTAACCATTTTAATTTTAACATTTGCATTTAACTATCAAAATTACAAAAAGGGTGACATATCTGTGTCAACATGCAGTTTATTTATAAAGTTATTGGCTATGAACTAGCTTTCAGTAATTAGGATAAATCTCAGATCTGTAGTTTGTGTCTTTAGTACTAGTGTTTTCATGCTTTGTATCCATCTGATGAGTTCAGCCCTTTAATCAACATGCGTTGGTTGTCTGTCGTCCGTCATTTACTTTTACAAAAATCTTCTCCTCTGAAACTACTGGGCCAAAGTAACCCAAACTTGGCCACAATCATCATTGGGATATCTAGTTTTAAAAATGTGTCTAACGACCCAGCCCCCCAACCAAGATGGCCGCCATGCTAAAACTAGAACATCGTGGTAAAATGAAGATTTTGGCTTATATCACTGAACCAAAGCATATAAGAGCAAATCTGACAGGGTAAAATTGTTCAATAGGTCAATATCTATTTGCCCTGTAATTTTCAGACAAATTCAACAACCCGTTGTTGGGTTGCTGCCTCTGAATTGGTAATTTTAAGGAAATTTTGCAGTTTTTAGCTTGGAACGGTGAGCTTTTGTCATCACTTGGCATCCGTCGTCATCTGTCGTCGTCCTTCTGGTGTAAACTATTTCAAACATCTAGCTTCTCCTCTTAAAATACTGAACCAATTCCAACCAAACTTAAGCTGAATGATGCTTAGGGTATCTAGAATAAAGATTGTGTTTTATTTACTGTTTCGTCAAATAACATGGCCGCCATGGCTAAAAATAGAACATAGGGGTAAACTGCAGCTTTTGGCTTATATCTCAAAAACCAAAGCATTTAGATCAAATCTTACATAGGTTAAAGTGTTCATTAGGTGAAGTTCTATCAACCCTGAAATTTTCAGTTGTTCATTGTTGGGTTGCTGCCACTAAATGGGTAATTTTAAGGAAATTTTAGTTTTTGGTTATTATCTTGAATATTATTAATGATAAAGATAAACTGTGAACAGCAAAAATGTTCAGCAAGATAAGATCTACAAATAAGTTTATATGATCAAAATTGTCAATTGACTCCTTAAGGAGTTATTGCCCTTTAAGGACAATTTTACACAATTTGTTTATCATGTTTTCTTATTTTAAAAAATCTTCTTCTTTGAAACTACCAAACCAATTCCAACCAAACTTAAGCTGAATGATACTAAGGGTGTCTAGAAGAAAGTTTGTGTTTTATTTTCTGTTTCATAAAAAAAACATGGCCGCCATGGCTAAAATAGAACGTAGGGGTAACATGCAATTTTTGGCTTATATCTCAAAAACCAAAGCATTTAGAGCTAATCTGACGAGAGGTA